TTTCGGAAACTGAAAATTCCAGAAAAACAATAAATTGATTTTCTGAATAATATTATATTCAATGTTACAATCGAAAATATTTAAGTATTAGACAGTCTTATCAATACTTTACATATAAATACCTAATAATTTAATGTTTTAAATTAATTATATTCACGTTAAAGTAAGTTAAAATATGACTAACTACAATCGTTTCAACGTACCTACCTAATATTTTAGATTTGCAGTGTAGCGAGAGATCTGTTGGTTTTTCCATTGTTTTTTTTGTGTTTGTGAGTAACTTTTCTACTAAAAATCTTGCTCCGATATCAAGTGTATTATTTTTTCTGAAAAAATTTTTTATCTAGTTGGTGTATTAAAGAGCTAATTTTGTTAAGATTTTCATTGTTTTTAATTTTTGTTCCCGATGTTTTCTACCAGAAATATTGATCTAATCAAAATATTTAACATATCGATTTTATTCCTTTTAATATAGCCACTGACAGAGAAAGTAATTTTTTTATATTTAAAGTATTTTTCATATAAGAAAAACCAAAAATACAAAAAATACGATTTTTTAAAATTATGAAACAACAATTTCATTATTTAAAATTGTATAACTTACATTATCTACTATAAATATTGTTTCAATAGAAAAACGAAAAGAAATTTTTCTTTTTTTTTTTATTAAATTTTTAATTTAGTTGGTCATTAAGAAAATGGTCTTTGATATTATTAATAATTTTTTAAATAAATAAACAAAACTAAAAAATACGTAAAACCTACACTAAAATTTACAAAAATCATTCTTTAATTATTTTAAATATTTTGGTTTTTTTAAATTTAATTCAGTCAAAAATATTCGTGGTCTTGAAATGTTGACAGAAAACTTATATTTGTTTTTTTTAGACATGGTTAAATTTTCAAAATATTTGAGTCATTTTGAAGCTATTTAGTTATAGTCATTTTAATTTTGCGAGATTTGTATGTAATGTTTAATTAGTCGGTACTCTGTGGATAAAAACTGTTAGACTAAACAGAAATGCTAGAAAATTGAACAGGAGGAAAATAAAAATTAATAGATTTGTGATGTTAATATTTCGTTATTTTAAATTTTATTTTTTTGTTGTATTTTAATTAAAAATATTCGTAGAGATTAGAAATTTTAACAGGAAACTTATGTAGGTCTTTTCTAAACTTGGTAAATATTAATAATATTTTAAAAGAATTTTTTGAGCTATCTATAGACATTCGACATTTTCTAGTTTATTTTCGTAGTTTTCCTTTGGTACCGAAATGTACTATACGTCATGAATAAAATTGTTTGGCCAAATAAAAATGTCTAAAAATTTGAACACGGGATTCATTATAAGTTAAACTTGTTTTATAAATAGAAGTTGAGTGTTACATAGTAGTTTTTTTATAATTTTAATATTTTAATATTAATAATTCAATAATTTTAAATCGTTTTAAAATCAACATTTGATCGTGAAAATTTGATAAATATTAGGTAGAGCATTTCAAAACATGCATAACTGTACTTCGCTCAGAATGATATTTCGTTAACAATGATTACTTACAGATATGTAATGTATCCTCTATTATAACATTCCTCCTAAAACAGTGGCACATATATCGGCAAAGAGCATTTGAAGATTTGTAGAACTATTGATGTATGTTTTAATAATGTAGAACGTAACCGCATTAATATGTTTAATTAGTATCCGCTTTTTAAAAATATTTGTAGTAATTTTAATATTTATTATTCTCTCCTACATAATCTAATATATATTCGCTTTCCCTGAGTATAAAACTTGTTTATTTTATACGACCCCGAAGGATGTCATAACAGCAACAACAACAATAATAATAATATTATGGACAATAATATTTTGTTTAGTACAAATACGGTCGTAGAATTTTATTTAAAACTATATAGCAAATGGCGCACAAGGACCGATGCAGCTGCTGTGTTGCCGCCGCCACATTGCGGTGAATGACAATTATTCTGGTCAATTTTAGAAAATGTGCTATAAAGTAGATTTTGTTTTTCTGTCTCACAGCGCACATGTTTCGTACAGTATTTTTTTTTTTTTTTTTGGAAGAAGCAAAATAGTATAATACTTGTGCGTGTGTTTTGTACACTGTAGTAGGTATACATATTATTATTTTTTTTTTTTTTGGCGCGCCCACTCGTAACTGGTTATCGACATTTATAGCCGCCGCGTTGTCGTGTGGGGACGGTGCACGAACAATGCGGCGGCCGCTGCCGACGCCGATCGGACAGAATCCTGTGATCCCGGCGGCATATTGACATTCTGCACGTGAAATAAAACCCACGGTCAGTTGTTGTGCTTTGCCCGGCAAACAAATATGTAGTTAAACAAGTAATATCAATGATGTCTGAGCTTTCACGGTGTCTCAACGGGTATTCGACATTACTTCTCTACCAGAGGTTACCTTTTTTTGTTCAAATTATTTAAAATTTATTCCCCGGACGCCTACCAGACACGCGGTTTTTTTAATAAATTTATTTATTTTTGGAGGCTTTTTTCTATTAAAATACCTACATGAGCATGCAATCGAGTTAGCAAACCATATATTGAACGTGCACGCATCCATCGTACAAAAATATTGTTACGCAGACGGCTACGTCATATTGAGTGTTGTCTAACAAACGATGGGTTTTATTTCGTGTGCAGTTTGTTAATGTGCATCCCGGTAAGCGGCTTACCCTTCGACCTCCCCACTCCGCCCGGCCAAAGCATCCTATAGCGTGGCGCAGAGCAGCTGCACCGAGAACACCACATGCGCCGTCCCTGCGATCGATCTTCGAGCGACGTTCTTATATTATTATTATTATTATTTTCACCCCTGCAGAGTCCGTAGTAGGTGGGTAATATGCTTGAACGGATTCGTTGTCATTCCAGTCGCAGGCTTGCCAACTTCGTTTTAAATTCAAAATAAGAAAGTAAATGTACTGCTAGCTGGAGTAGAGAATACCTATAATACCTGATGCACACTAGATGTGTTTTATATTGCCTTTACGATAAATAAAATACCCAAGGTATTAGACCTCAGTCGTTTCCACCAAAAAACTTGATTTTCGTTTCCGCAAAATCTATTTCTACCTATATTATTGAGATATTATATATTATAACCAATATTATTTGAGTACCCCTACTCTATATACAGTGTTATCGATCATCGATGTAGGTCGATATGATTGATTTTACACTTGGTAATTTCTACCTATTATAAATAAATAAAAATCGTTCTAATCTTTATCATGTGTAGATAGGGCTCAGATTTAACTGTGAGTATTATGACAACAATGATGAAATTTTGAGTATTACAACGTAGCTATGTGAAGTCGTTAACCCCGAGTAAATCGATAGTGAACCGTGAATAATATATCTAATTATTGAATATATATGTATTTATTTTAAATGAAATTCATAACGTGTAAACGTGGTAAAAAAACGATTCTAATTGATAAGTTCAAATTTAATTTTTCGTACGAATCGGTCCAAACAAATATTCCCTGGTAAATCCAAATGGATCTTAAACTATAATTTAGATTAGTATGTAGAAATAAATTTGGCGGAAACGATGACCGCCCAAGGTTTTAACGTCAGACGATTGCAAGCTGACACGCACAAACGCACGCACGCACGATACACCCTAGCTGTATACGAGAATATTGTATAGTACCTACCCACCAACCACCGCGATTGTTATTAGTATGACATTGTTATATTGCTATCCCCAGCCGCATTCTGAAAACCTGCAGGTGGCCAATGAAACCGCTCGATTGTCTGCCGTGGGCTTGCGCGACAATGTCGTCGTAATTGATTTATTCGTTTTGTTTGCTCTTTTCATTCTCATCCCTTCTAACACTCTTACCAATCCGTTGGCACATGATTTTTTTTTTTCATTATTTTCCCGGTTTTTTTTTTTTTTTATTTTCTGCGATCAATAGCGCAATTGAATATTTATATCTCGGGAAGTAGTGCGATCTAATTCACATATACACATAATTTTAAATAATATATAGGTACATATATATCTAGGTTATACCTCATCAAAGGACTGCATCACCTAACCCCCTCGAGTTAAAAAATATAAAAATGTTAACATATAATTTAACAAACAAAAAATAATTGTATAACATAATATTAATATTTACGTTTAGAATTTAAAATAGGTACTGATAATTAAATAGGTACTTTTAATTACTGTATGCAAACGATTCTAAGCTAAGTTCGTCTAAAGGTTTTTTGATAAATTTAAATTTACGTATTTTATTCATAAATTTGAACTTTAACCGCTTATGAACAAATAACGACGGCTCACTTTTTTAAACCCTGTGATGAACCTTCTATCATTTTTCAGAAGTCAACAAAATATATCCACTATTAATACTCGAGCATTTCAAATAGCTATAAATAACTTAAATAGCGATAGAATATTTTTAAAATTAAACCACGTCTATAGGAATATGTGCTAATATAAGTCGTCGGGTTAATATTTTCAAGTAACCATTGGAATACTTTTCACTAAATTCAAAAAAAAAAAAAATCGATTTTAACAGAAACTGTTTTAACGTAAACAGTCTAATACACTAACTAAATAAAATTGTCGTCTGAGAGCCACCACTGATATTGATGATTGGAGCAATATTTCTGCAGGTTGAAGTTTCGTTGTAAATTTGATTATTATTAATATTTGTGTTATTATCCTATATTTGTAAAAAAAAGACCTTTATGGTAGCTATTGCACTTAACACCTCCTTCCTCCCCTCAAATGCGCCATTGATTATAGATATGTGCGCCTCCTCGTTCCGCTGAACAACAATATTAGACGCTGGCGCCCAGAGTGGCTAACGTTAAATTTTCGTATGCACATCACAAACTTGCGGCGTCATTCCACTCTGTGTTTAGTATTTACTACACGCCGGTTCGCGTCCATGTGCTACACCTTCGCTGCCGATTTTATTCGTCAAGTGTTTCTAGTTCACAATGGCAGGAGGACAAAAAGAAGATTTCTTCTTTACTAAATATATGAGAGGTAATTATATACTTAACCCATAAACTTTTAATCACATTATTAATTAATTTTATATATTTGTATAATTGTCATATTCACTTTTATCCACCCGTTTTATAATATGAAAATAAAATCTGTATTTCAAAATTAATAAGTTTGATGTTTATAAATTGGAATTAAAAATAAAATTAAAATATGTATTTAATTTGTTCATTTAGTTACAGATAATAAATCAACAGCAAAAGAAAACAATGGTGTGATTGATAAGTTAAGGTATTTGTTGTAATTTACAATTTCTTTTAATGAGATTTTATTAATTTTTAAAACAATTTCTGCAATAATTTTTAGTAATTGCTATCAGAAACATGCATGGAAAGAATTGCAGGATTCTTTGTTTAATTGTTGTATGGAATTGGACTGTAACAATATCACAATGACCAAATTTAAGTTATATAAGCTTAATATCGTACGTGGTAAAGGCATGCTTTGTCGCTTCTTAATGTTCGCTCAAATAAGAAGATTAGGCGATTCTTTTTTCTATGCTAAATTGGTTGCCTTAATAAACGTTGACGTAAGTTATTCTAAACGTGAAATTTGTTTATTTTATTATTCAATATATGTTATAATATATTTTTTAGTTCCCCAACATCGTTGAATTACTCATAACAAGATATATTGTACAATTCAAAGTAACTTATTTTTTTGAAGAAGATAAATCGTATATTCTTGGACCAGCTTATTTTCTTGCGCATTTGATCAACTTTAACTGTGTAAGTTTTTAGTTATTTCAGTATATTTTGATAGGGCCGTGCCTAGAGAGGAGGGGGGGGGTGCGAGCGGTGCACACACACCGGACGCTATGACCCCGGGGACCAATAAAACATTATAAAGTTCTACAATTGCATATTTTTACAATAAACGTATTAGTGAACGACTGACAGAGAGATTTACCTTTTTTATTTGCTTATGAGTGAATTTTTCTGACAACGGGTGCCGATTATGCTAATCACGGAACTGTATTTTAATGTACTAAATTTAATTGATAATTGTTATATTGATAAATATTATTTTAGGTTGATGCTGTTGTTGTTATTCAGATGTTGAATATTATCTTCAAACATTCTTCACTGAACCCATTTAAACTTCGAGTAGTAAAGGAGGTTTTGAAAATATGTGGATATAAACTATGCATTGAACAAGAGAAAGAAATGTATCAAATTTTAGAAGTTTTGGATTTAATTCCACAGAATTTTCGTCTTGTTAAAGAAGTATGTTAATATTTTTTTCATTTCTCAAATATTAGTATTTAAGGTTTAATATATACAGAGTGTAAAACAAAGATTTGAGACCTGAAATTACTTTTTTTTAGTCAATATTGAATTAATAAGTTTTAAATTCCGAATGGAGTGAAGAATGTTTTAGTTTTACTATGATGAATGATTAATTTCTTTCTTTTCTGTGTACAATTTTTTTACCAGAAACTTTAGAGGGAAATGAAAAGTAAGACTTTTCGTTGCATTTTTAATCTTATTGGTGTATTAAGGAGGTAATTTCTTGATTTTCCTTGCGGTTTAATAGCAACTTGGAAAATCTGGAAAATTTAGAATGTTAATAAATGTTCGCAATAAAAATATAGTAAATTAACGATTAAAAACTAGTAATCATAAAATATTCCATTAATAATTATTACAATAAAAAAAACGTAAAAAAAGTTGGGTAAGTGAAATACATAAAATTATTTAATTTATACCTCTAAATATTGATACACTATTACTAACCTATAACCTAACTGAATTGGAAAACGATTCGAAGCGAAGTTCAGTTATACATGTTTTGAAAAGTCGTATAGGAATATTCAAGATTATCGTCAATATTTGATATTAAAATGTGTATAAAAAAATTCTACAGTACATTCAATTCTTTTTTTACCATTATGTATGATATATAATAAACCTCTTGTAAATGTTCAATCATTTCTGTTTAGTCTAATAATTTTATCCACAGAGTATCTATACCGAATAAACATTAAAAACTCACATAATATTAAAATGTCTATAAATAACTAAAAAATAACTAAAATGTTTTGAAAATGTTACCAACTCTAAAAAAGGTAAATATTCGTTTTCTGACTAAATTTCAAGTCTTCACTAATATTTTTAACTAATTTATAATAAAAATACAAAACTGATAATACCTAATATAAGTTTTTTTTTCTTAAATTTTCTTATTGTTTTTACGGTTTTTTTTTTTTACTTCTCTGAATTATTATAAAAACTACAAGGAAAATCGAAAAACATTTTAACACCAACAAGTTTAAACTTGCCGTTTTTCTATTACAACAATATTTTTGGTGGAAACCTACCTTTTTTTTATAAATTAAAAATAATGAAATCTGTAACGTCTCAGCGCGGCGAGCAGTAGAAATGTGTGGTTTCACCTATAGTTTTCTTTCCGGTTTCTTTCCCTAGTACGCTTCGAGTCTAAAAAACAGTTGGAGGAATTCCAACACCACCCAAATAATATCACTCGAATATGTAATATATATATAGACATAAGGTAACCAAATTCTGTGTTTAATATTAATGATTAATTATTTTCAGATTTTGAGCAGAATGTAAGAGCTCTGTTACTCTTCTCAAAATTATATTGTAGGTAGAAATATTTTTAAAGGGGTATTTAGCACATTTTAGTTAGCTATCGTAATCTAAAGAACATTTGTAGTCATCTTTATGTATGTAGCAATGTAGTCAATATTAATTTTTTGAGTTACCTATTTCATAATCTAACTGGTTGGAGTGTATTTTTTTTTTGACGCTCTCATTGAAAGTGCATAATATTCAAGATATAGTTTTGCTTTCATTAATTTTCAGTAACACTACCTTTCATCGTAGTTTCTTCAGTATCTTCTAATATTATAATATTATATCTACATTGTTTATATTAAAATATTAATTTGAGGTCATTCACCTCATTTGCTATCTTTGTCTATAATATGCATCCATATTAGTATGCTTTAAGTTCGGTTATAGCAGAACAATTATTATGAAATTGAAAAAAATATTTTTATGTCTAACCAACATCAAAATATTAAAATGAATTTAAAAGTATAATAAATCAGTGCGTAAATTATATTATTTTGTTTTTTAGGATATCCAGATTAATAATATTGACTATAGATATATTATATTTCATTAGTCATTTTTTTTTACACCTTTAACTAGATATAAAGAACATTTATAAATAGTCAAAAAGAGAATTTTATAATGTTATGCCTTATGGATACATTAATTAGTAACCAAGGCTGCATCTGTAGGATGGTTTGGCCTGCAAACCTCCTCCTCCAAAAATTGTTCGTATTATATTTTGGCGTGGAAAAATAATTATTCCAGTCTATGAAAATAAAAACACCACAAATATTTAGTTTAAATTCCCCCCCCCCCAAATGGTTTTCCAGTTATGGCCTTATAATAGACAGAGACAGTAAATGTTGGTGCACGATATTACTGTTAATATAAATCTAAAATATAATTCATATATGTATTTAAAATAATATAAATTAATGTCTTAAAGGACTTCATTATTAACATTTGTTTATGTGTCTGTCTCACGAGTAATATATATAGCATAAAATCCATTTTATATTTCTACGATTCTTTAATTGGGTTTGGAGCAAAGGAAACTATTATACGTTTTATAAAGATTATTTAATTTTATTATAGGTGACAAACAGAAAAAAACAAATGTTACTGATGAGTCCCCTCTCTTTATGATAAAGGGAAAAAAACAATTTCAATTTGTTTAAAATTCGCATTTTATTAATAAAGAATACATGTAATAAATGTGTACATATACAACGTTTTTATTATTTGAATATAATTATTTAGATCCAATTTTTGATAAAGTACATTTTCAAATTACATGATTTGTCAAAAACAACCACGGTTGAGGAGAAATATGATAAAGGATTAAAGGAGCTTTTTAGCAAACAACAGACTCATGATGTTACTTTTTTATCTGCTTTTAACCCAGAATATGATTTGGGTATGTATATAACTATAAAAAAATTATTCATTACCTAGGATATAATTTACCATTTATTGTATTTGTGTGTGTAATTTCAGATTCTTATACATTAGATTTGGATTATGTAACAAACGAAGAGATTTTTAAACAGTTTGTGCCCCGTGAAGATGAGAACTTATTATGTGACATTCATTATGACAGTGATACTGATTTTCAATGGGAAGCTACAGAAGAAAATGAAAAAAATGGGTAAGCTACCATATTTTAATTAAAAACAAATATTTTGTTGTTTAGTTTAGACAATTTATTTTAACACAGTGAATTGGGTAACGCAATTTTATTTGAACTCACACACTTTACCAGTGGTTATTAAACTTGTGTAGTACACAGGCTTATATGATGGACTTTTTAAATCCACCAACGCTCTACAATAACTGTTTAGATTCTGAGCGAGGAATGGTTTATAAATGGTTTATTTTTTTCTGTGAACAACTATTCTACTAGAAGTCTTGCTCTGATTTTTAAGTGTAGAACATTTTTTGAAAGGACATTTTATCTTGGTGATACAATAGACAGTTCACTTTTTAATTTGCTATAGGATTTTCTAAATAATTAGGAATAAAACGCAGGAAAAACGGGAAAATTTATGAAATGTGTTTTTTTCAATTTTTTTTTTTTTTTTTGTTATTTAGAAAAACTATTCGTAGAGACCTAACATTTTCACAAAAAAATTATATTTTCCATGTCTAAAAGTGTTAAAATGTTCAAAACATTTTAGTTCAAAATATTTTAGCTAGTTTTGAACTATTTATAGACATTTTAATTTTACAAGTTTTTACATAATTTTTAATTGGTAGGTACTCTGTGGATAAAATTATTAGACTAAATATTAATAATTAAACACTAAACAAGAGATTTTTGCTGCCTTATCGTATGTTCTTAACAATAGTGTTAAGTATACGAAATTATACTCTTTCTTTTTTTTTTTTTTTTTTGAAAATTATAAATAATAAATAAATAAATATAAATATGTAGAAAACATATTAATAAAATTTTGTATTTATTTAAATGTTTACATTTAAATATTTATACTTTAGTCATACATATATTATTTTATTTTATTTAAAATTATTTAAATTTCAATGTATTTTCATCATTAAGACACAAACTTAATGAGTTGACATTATGATTTCAAATAATTAGTTTTAGATTCCAAGTGTAACGAGGAATGTATTGATTTTATAATGCTGTTTACTTTTTTCTTATTTTTTTTCTTACAGTTTGTGGACACGTTTTTTCCTAGTAAACTTGTTCCGATATTTTACTTGTAGTAACTTTTCTGAAAGCTCAAATTCTCTAAATTATACTTTAAACAGGTAAAGGTCATTTTTTGATTTTCAATGCCATTTTTTAAATAAAAGCATTTAAGTGAGGACAAATTTAGAAAAACATACAATTTCACGATTTCATTATTTTATAAAAACACGGACGACATTTTCTCTCAGAAAAAATGATTTGAATTGAAAAATCACAAGATACCTTTTTTGAGCCACGTTTGAGCCTTTAAGAAATTTTAATTTTTGGTAGTTTTTTTGCTGTAATTTAGTTATAAATACACGTAGAGATTTGGTAATAATACTTATATTGGACTTACCTAGACGTGGTAAAATTTCCAAAATCATCAGACAACTTTTTTTCCTTTTTTCAATAAGCGTTTTGAAATACAATTTAAACAAAAATCGCAAAAAAAAAAAAAATACGGCATTTCAAATTATGTACTACTGAATTGCGCTCGGAATTTCGGTCTTTTGACAAGCAACGGTTTATCGTTGCTTATAAATATAAATGAAATAATCTTATGTATCCTACATTCCCAATTTCTCACCTATAACAGTGGCCGCTCCTATCCCCAGTATCGGCTCTTTTTTATACTTGATATTAGAAAAAATCATCATAAAGTTATCAAATTAAAAAAAATGTATATAGATGGATATGAGCTATGGGCAAAAGGGTTGAATAGTGTACACATTGGCCAATTCTTTCAAGAGAGGGTTTTTTTTTTATAATGGAGGACCTAAATTTTAAAATTTACTTTTTTTTGGATTTTTATACCTGGTCACCACAATTATTATAATTCGTACTTCATGATAAAAAAAAATAATAATAAATGTAATGTAGAATATCTTTTTATGAGAGTTAAAATTAAATTTTGACGAAAATCGTAAATATTTCGACCTTGCAAATATATATAATCAAACTTGACTCCGAATCGTTTTTCGTTAGTAATGGTCCATCAATAATGCTTACAGGTATAATTAAATAATTATATGTATCCCACCTTCCCAACTTCTCATCTATAACAGTGGCCCACCCATCTTGTGAAGTATGTTCGTTTTTTTAAAATGGTTTTACTTCATGTGAAAGATCATGTTGCATTTTAAATATCAGTTTTTGAACTATATGACCTGCTTGAACTGAGTACCATGCAGACATGGACTTTTAAAAAAGGGGAAGGGAAGCTATATAATTTTAGCGCAAATATTAACAATTATTGGAGTAAATTATAAGAAGTTAAATGTAAAAATCTAACCAATTCAGTTCAATTGTGGGTCATTTTTATAAATTGAGAACGTAAAATATACAGAATGTAATTTATATTAGTTTATATCTATGCACGATGATAAATCAGTACAAACGAAAAACGACTATGAAGCAAATACGATTCAACATGTTTAATTGACAAATTTAAATATAACAGTATATTATTCTATGACCAAAAATAAATTACAATTATTTGTGTTTAACAAATTTTTTAACATAAAATATAATTGAAAATAAATTGTAAAATTTATTGTTGTTCATACAAATAGAACAAATATTAAAAATGTCAAATAGGCACAAAATATTTTGAAAATAACAAATCGTCTAGAAATTTCGTATTATGTAGTGCAAAATAATTAATTATATGATCGAATTGTTGTAAAAAATTTAATTATAATCTATTTATTATAGATCTAATAGACCTTTTTTATATTATTAGAGAATTATAACTTTCTTATAAAAATTCATATTAATTTTAAGTAGATTTATTAAGGCGAATTCATATCAATTGGGGCTAACATTTTTGGGACATGGGGTGTTGTAGCATTCCAGCACCCCAGGAGAGACCTGTAACAATATATTACCTCTCCCTCCTTTCCCTTTTCCTTGTATAAAAATATACAAGAATATGTATACCCCTTCTTCAATCATATATTCTACGATTTCTCATGTCCAGAATTAAAATGCAAATATATCCTACGACATTCTAACGTTTACAAAAGAAATGTACTAAACGAGGAAATATTATGAAATATTCTTTCATCCTCCGTAATATTTCACATGAAATGTTATATTTTCTACGTAATTCCTACTTCCACAAATGAGTAGTAAAAATAAAATATATAATGGTATACTCTAATTTAATTTTCATCTGATAAGTATTTTAAATTTATAAAATTTGTACTTATACCTAGTTATATTTTTAAAATCGAAATTAATGACAAATCATCAATGATCATTATGATTTATTAATTTTAATTACTTGGAAATTAATTGTATTCGATTAATGTAATTATTACGTACAATTAACCTGTACCCCATTCACTGCCTATAAGGGAGGGCTTATTAAAATATGGAATTCAATTATCCGCAATATTACATTCCGGAAAAATATTATTAGATATTTACCAGGGCATAGAAAGTGGGTGTTTATTATGAAAGGTTCCTGGGCCATTTAAGATTCTGAACATCTTGTACAATTGTAACATATGGTTTTTTATAAATTATATAATAATTATAGTAAAATGTATATTATTTAGAAATTATTGATGGACGTAATTAAAATGGTTTCCAATTTTCTATTGATTTTTCTATTTTTAGTGAGGAGTCTGAAGATTTTACTGGTGACAATAAAGTTGCCGATGAAAAAGTTACAGATGAGCACTCAACAACTGACCAACCATCATAATATTTTTGTTTCCAGAAATCGACAACCTACATCATAATTCAATATCACTGATTGATAAAACTAGTTTTATTATTTGAATATATTTAAAAATATCATATTTTTTTTATTATTGTAGTTATTTACTGTGAATTATTTCATAAGTTTTAAAATATCATTAACTACTAAGTTGTTTTCATTTGTGTTCTTTTATTAGTAGATACTATCCATCAATTTGTTTAAATAATACCAATCATCAAAACATTTATTGATTATATATTTTGCTTTTACTTTAACCAACTTGTGTTGAATTATATTCAGCAAATTTTAGCCAACTTTTATTGTTCATAATAAAGTACCAGAGTTTCATCAACATGTAATTTTTAGTTATTTAAAAGTCTTTAATAGTGATTTATTGTTAAAAAAAATCGTGGATATACACCTTTTTTACAAAGCCTTATTAATAGGGAAAATGGTTAGACCTGATATCATAAAGGAAAATAAATTTTTATCTTTTCGTTTGAAAAAACAATTTTCCCTACACACTTACTATCCAATTTATTAATATATATAATTTTTACTATAGCAATAGCTAGTGTAGCACTTTTTCAAAAAAATTATGAAAATTAAATGAAAAATCTCAAAGTTATACATTTGCCATTGCATATAAAATATCTATTTTGACTATTAAATTTTAAAAACCATGACTTTTTAATTTTATTTAAACGAGTATAAACATAAAAAAGATATTTTTAATTGCCATATATATCAAAATGTCTATATAAACAGTAATACAAATTATCTAAGGTTTGGTTGGTTTTTAAATTATCAATTATTCTGGTAAAATGTAAAATATTCACATTACAAGAAACAATAATAATTAACTCAAAGTAGGCATAAAATATTGGAACATTGATTGTGGTGTATCGTATACGTCATAATTTCTTTGGTAATTGGTTCTCAAAATATTGTTTAATAATCAGTTATCACTCCTATACTGAGAAATACAAATAATTGTGGTTTACTCGTTATATGGAATATATTTTTACCATCGTTGAAAATTCTAATATAAATACGGGGCTATACGAAATTACTATATCAACGTATCATCGTATTTTGAGAGTAAAATAATTAATTAGAAAAATGAGTTTAGTGTATCCCCCAATACACAACTGATTACACCACTTATCTATTTGTTAGCAATTTAATATACGAGTACAAATGTTACAAGATAAAAAATATGAAGAATTATATGCTATACACTTATATCGGGTTATTTATTACATTATATTATATTATATTATGTATATTTTATAACAGGGTTTGAAACCGGTTTAGAAATCGATTCACCACAAAACCAAAATCGAAAATATTGAAACGATTAATGCCGTAAACATTCCCTAAATTCCAAAGTTTCTGCACATTTTTCCGAATTATTATAAAAACTGCTAGGAAATTTAAAAACGACTTTCTTACTCACCGGCTAAATTAAAAATATACAATAATTAGTTCTTGTTTTTTTATTGGAGCAATATTTATGGTAGAAAAAAAAAGCCGTAAAATAATAAAATCATAGCAATTTAAAAAAAATCTTTTTTGTTTTTTTTTTTCCCCAATTATCATAAAAATTAATTTTAGATATCAATAAAAGAATTTCTGTAACATTGATTATATATTAAAATAATAAAATCCATCAATTGTCATTTTTAGAATAGAGCGAAATTTCTGGTAGTAATTAAATGTATAGGTGTACGCTAAGATAAACCATTGATAACGAAAAATGATTCGGAACAAAGTTCGGTAAGGCAAATATTTAAATGCTTAAATTTTTACGAATTTCGTCAAAATTTGATCTCATGATTTTGAGCTTATGAAAAAAAAAAAGTTGTACAGATGAGGTACAACAATTAAAATAGAAGTACTCAAATTAGCACAACGAATACATTTCTCGCTGGACTCAGAATTTAAAACATAAATTTATACTGTTTACACATCTAATATTATTTAGTTATAATACGAGTAATTTAACGGACTTGAGCATTTTGAATATATGATTAAATACAATTGACAATTTTTGCATGAACGGACAAACGTGACTTAATTATAATGACAAATTTTGTAATATTGTATAACGTGTACCTAGGCCAAAAAAAAAGTTTATTTACATAATAATAATATAGGTAATTTACAATATTTAAACAACTTTAAAATTATCATAGAAATAAAATAACTGGATACCTATTAGTAATATTATTATTATTTTATTTACCATTATTTCATAATCTAATATAAACTACACATTATATAGGTAATGAATCGGATGTATTTTATTTTAGAGAAGAAAATTTATATGCGTTCGGGGTATTTTATATATATATATATATATATATATATATATATATATATATATATATTAGATATGAGTAATTTTTGATTTTGTTCAGCTCAAAAGTAAATAAACTTGAATTTCAAAAATATTTTATACTACTTTTTGCACTATACGTTCCTCGTTGTAATTACTCGAAAAAAGGATAGCGGATAGTTAGAGATTCAATACATGGACAAAATAGGAGTGATAATTATGTATAGAGGTAAGAGAGTACTAAAGAGGAAAAGGGGTACTCAGCTTAATAATTATATTATTACCTTCCTCTTGATATTTGGAGAGATTCGAAGTCGTGAGTCTAAGAATGGTAATGAAATAAACAAATTAGCAATATAATATTGTTTTACCTGCCCACGGTGTTGAAACGCTAGGTTATACACCTGTAAATATCTTTGATCCTAGAATCGTTGGTAGCAGTCACAATTCAATTAAAATATTCTAACTTAAGTATTTACATTTCAAAACTGCGTGCACACTGATAACAAATATGTTACAATTTAAATTAGGAAGGAAAAAAGTTTGAAATATTAAAGTAAAAATGTAACACAAATGATTATTATCTGCTAAAAGTCGGAGCTATTCAGGAGAGATTTTCGAAAAAAGATGATGGTGCGTACTTATTGTGTCCGGGTTTCTCGATGGAGTGATCGTCTTAGGATGTTTCAAGCATTTTGACCGCTTGAGATTCTAACAAAAAACTGTTTTATTTCATTCGTTTTAAGATGCAAACGGTCATCTATAAATAATAGTGGTATATTGATTTAAATTGTGTGTGGGAATAATACATTTTAAGGGTATCAAGTGTGAGAGTGTAACGACGATAATGTTATTTGCAGACGTAAATATCTTTTCATTTGACTCGTATTAAAATGTTTCTATTGAAAATAATATATGGGATGTAAGTCCCTTCCGAACAACGAAAACACATTATTATTTATTAGCTTAAAAGGGCCCCGTCGGTCTTCGCGTCGGTGTCGATAGAAGATAACCAACAATAAAATTATATTTATTAGAATGTTGTGTGGCAATAAATTATAAGAATATTCTGAGTACGACTATGGTGGCGGCGCGATCCTCAAAGGGATTACTCAGATGTCGCAAATTTACAATATATTTGACCCATTTCAAAAGAAACTGTGATTATAAGTATGTATCCCTCTCGAACAATGAATATTCCGTTATTTTTATTAAATTATTAACTTTTTTTAATAAAAAATACCAAGTACACGGCCGCATTTGAATCTGTTAATCGCCTTGTTATAAAAGTATGAAATATATTAAACAGTTCTACATAATATGTTGTGTGAGCACAACATTACAATTGAAGAGGTCGGTGTTTTTTTTTTTTTATTTTCCTTATAGTTTTTTTACAGTTAGTTTTACAATAATTGTTGTTAAAAAAATACGACTTGTAATACTCTATAATAACAGAATGCGTTATCAATACGCTCCCTTTCAAGTTCCTTTAAACACACCCAACAGCAGTATCAACTTTGGTATACAAACTTCGACCTTATTAAATATTATAATACCTCGATAATAGTCATCATCATTTTATAAAACTATTTCGAATAATCATTTTTCCATTTTATTATTTCCGTTCGAGATAAAACTATGGATATTCGAATATATAATATTGCTATCGTACATTGGTAAATTATACTCGATTATATAATATAGATAGGTATTATAGGTAGGTAGTTTACAGGAATGTTGTTAAAATACTATTATATAATATAGAATAATATATAGCTCGAATGCCGCTGGTGTAGGGTATTATATTATATTTTAATACGTACATACGTCATGTGCGGTTCCCACGGTTCGTATATTGAGAAAAACACGTTTATATTGTTGCTACTCATCCGTTAGTTGGTATATTTCGTATACTGGTTATTATTATTATTATTTTTTTTTTTTTTCGTGGAATTTAAAACGCTGCCCCGAAAACGAACAGGACGGGAGGATACGACACGCCGGGGTATGTAGCTAATAATTTATCGTCTGTATAGGTAGGTAAAAATCGCTTCAGCGCCGTCACTGACAGGTCGCCTATCTACCTGCGTGGCTGGCTGTGTGTACACTGTAAACCTACTCACCTACCCATACGCCGCAGCGGCGGCAATGTGTTGCTGCACCTGTCTGATAGTGCCGCTATTTCATACACATTAATATATTATTATACCTAGTTTTTATATCAATAATGTAATAATAATACCTAAATAAAAAAAAAAAAATACATATATTCATATATATTATAATGCGAGATGTTATCGGTAAGTCAGTGAACACGGTCATCTGGGAAGTGCATATTTCGAAAGTGGATATCTATATATTATTATTATTATACACTAAAAACCGAACGTTCGTACATTAGCCGTAGATTATCTAAATGGGTCTGTGACGACTGCGGAGACGCGACGCGATGGCGATAGTCGACGAACAGGACGTGTAGGACAAGTATTACGTAATAATATGTATAAGGTTTTACGGGCGCATTAGCTGTTAGGCATAGTATAGCCGAGTTATTATAAAATAAAGAGAAAGAAGAAAAAAAAACCTTAATACTAACGTCTCGTAAACAAACTGAATTTATTATCTACGTTTGTATAAATTATTACGCGGTCCCGTCTCACGG